TTATAATTATTACCCGTAGTAGAATAGCAGTCGTGCTGTTGTATCATCAGCAACATCATCTAACAGATCAGGGTCAAATCCAACTTGAAATTCATGTATGCAATTCAATTCACATTCTCTGTGTTAAGATATTCAAAAACATTCCTCATTTGACTTCTTCTTAGATGCGTCGCGCATGGATTGTGTTTTGCCTCTGGCGTGCTATGGTAAATGAAAAGTAATGCGCTATTCTTCAGCTGACTGTATCTGACAGGAAGACTATTGCAACAGGCTTTCTCATCGCAGGATGATAGAATAGCTATTCGATTAAATTATCGCTAATGTTTGATTAGGGCACAAATGGCGCAGTCTCCACAAACAGCAGCACAATTAAAGTTAAATAAATTACAGCTAATCTTAGACCCATCACTGGCAATGCCCGTAAACACTCAACTTGTTCGCTGTGAAAAGATTTACAGCAAAATATAGCCTGTCTCATATTTGTAAAAAAATTCACAACATCGTTTAGAGTAGCAAACAAGCCCGTCTTGAATGGCTGGTAATTATGTACAGCAGGAAATAAAGCGTGGTTCCTTTCTGAGGCACTGGTGGCTTGTTAAGTGGTGAACAGACAAAACAGCATTTAGAAAATGAAAGGTGCAGGGAAAGATCCAGGGCACAGCCAGCTTCTCTCCCATTAGAGACAACACTGTCTGTCTCACGACCGTTTGTTTGTTCCAACTGGCTTTGCTGGAAGGACGCACCCTGAACCCCCACCTTCAGCAGTAACTATGTCTCTCCCTTTTTTCTGTCACCCTCTCCCTCTGTCTGTCCAGCCCTTCCTCTAATCTTCCCACCATGTCCATCCCCCCTCTCATCTCCAGCTCCTCTGTTTTCTCCTCTCTCTCAGTACAACCTACCCTATGTTTGGCGCTCTTTCTCATCATCAACCCCTTTTTTCATCTCCTCCACCTCCTCCTCCCCCCCACCTCCTCCCCCTCTTTCCATCCACCAAATCAAAGATAAGGCTAATGAAGGTGGCTTATTATTCCAGCATTCGGGACCCTGGATGTATACACGTTTAGCACAACATGGATATGCGACTCCTCCGGCTCCAACATGAGGAATTAGACAAGGGGCAATGAATCTATTAGTGTTATTATATAACAAAAAAACAGAGTTGTTATTGCTACTGTGTGTGCCGTTACAAAGGGAACAATACATGGGAGCAAACTGTGAGAAACCAATTTAAAATCCAGCCTTGTCATATAGCTTCCTCCCTCCCAAGTCATATCGTGAATATACCGCTTTCATACCATTCATGTCAATGCACCTGTGTCCACTGCATTAAATCCCAACCTCTTTGGGCTCCTTCTCAAATTTCCCAGCATCAAATCACACTATCTGTTTCAAGAACCCCATGAGTTGAAATGCAAGGGGGCCCGGGAGAGAGTGAGCAGAACTGGGGAAATTTCACATTATCTATCCATCTGTAATATAAGGGTCTGATGTGGAAGCAGGAAATGAGCTATGAACGTCAAGCCTGCACGCTCATGGTCCCAGTGGCCACCAGCCTACATGTTGAGATCAAGTAGGCAACGCGGAAAGTGGTTTAATAGACCCCAGTTTAATTGGACTTTTATTTGTTAATGGCAGAAATCCTGATGCATTACTTTAATTATCCTGGCAGAACTAATTCATGAACACGGTGCAAAAACGTGGCTGGCCTTGGCATTTAAATTGCACCAAACTGCTTTTCCTTTTTTTTTTTTTTAAAACCTCTCCTCAAAGTGATTTTCTGCCTTCCACTGGAATCTCTCTGATAGGACTTGTAAGGATGGTTTAACCCCTTGGCGTACTTAAACCAGCCAGCTGTCATGAATGAATCCAGAGAATGAGGAGAGGAGAGCGCTGAGGCCATTTTTCCCCTAAAAGCGCTGGGGCCAACCCAGATCCTATATGTGAGCATGTCCATGTTTGCCAGGCCCTCAGAGTGCAGAGCAGCCCTCTTCAGTTTGGCTGCTGCTATGGAGGGAGGGAGGATGGGGAGGCACAGCTCCCCCTGCAGAGCGCTGGTCCAAGACAACCACAGGCAGTCTCTGCTCACATCTACACTCAGCCCCATCACACATCAACTTCTCTGTCAATGCAGACCGGCAGCCAATCCACGGAGAGATCCTTAATGTATTTCTGATTGCGCTGTTTTTAATTCATTACATGACTGCACTCTTACAGTTTTGCCTCAGTGCCTCACGCCTCGTACTGACACATATTTTCTTAAACGGGGCATTCTTTAAATTAGATTAGCTCAGTTTGCCTGTCAGCTACAGCTGTAATTTTTGCCTCTCTCAGCCACTGTGCATTAGTGTGTGTATATACATATGTGTGTCTGCAGCAGGAAGAGTTAGAGTATGTTTACTTGTGTATGCATGAGTATGCCAGTAGCGTGTGAGTACAAATGTGTGTGTCTTTCTGGAACAGCTCCCGTCTGGGGGGCAGAGCAGGCAGCAAAGAGCTCAGCAGCGCCTCAGTCCCTCAGGACACGCTGCAGCTCTCTCCTCGCGGCCATGAAAAGCAATCAGAGCCCAGCCTTCTCCCCTGGACTTACCTCTGCCTTTAATTACAGAACTCGGCAGAGGCAGCAGCACGGGGAAAGACTGCCTCCGCTGGGCCGCAGTCAGCAAGGCACAGCCCAAACGCAGGGCTGGGGCGGGCGCAGCAGGCCTCTGCATACAGTGGCCTGACATAAACACAGTGTGCTTACACAGACACTCGCTACTGATAGGCTCAGCGTGCTTCTACATAGACTGGGAAAGACACAAGGTGCTTCCATAATACTTTAGCGACACAATGTGCAGAGAAAACTGCAGAGCTCCAGACATAAAACACAGCGGGGCTCCATAGGCGGGAAGCCCTTTCTGTATCCTTAACGAGATGTTTTCCCCTGTATCCCCTTTTAAGTGTTGTAGTGCAATCTGTCAGGCAATACGATTGAAGAAATCCATCATACTTATAAACATTTATAGTACAAGCAGTTGTATCCTCTTCTCTAAAATGCCTTATATTGATTAGAACCTTTAAGGTGTAAATTATTGACCAGGAACATGATCTTTATATACGAATAATGTGTCCACTGGCAAGAAAAAAAGCATGATTGACGGGGATCAGTTCATTCGGTATAATTGAGACTCTCTCCCATTCAACAGACACGGTAGTAGAGGCCCAACACATGTGCCTGAGGCAGAAGCAGAGGAGAAGCCATAGAGCACACATGGGCAGGAGAAGATAAGAGACTATGTACACAAGCTGCTGGTTTTATTGCAGCAACATAACGCTCGGATAACATTTTCAGAAAACCTTCCAGCGCTGTCCTTGCTACTCTGGAACAGAGCCATGGTGGTGAAATGTGTCATTGGACTCAATTTCTCACCCAATTTGAGGCAGAACGGAGAATGGCGCTGGAGTGAAAGCAGTGAGACTGACCAGGAGGAGATGAATGGCAAATTCTGTAACCTCCATGGCGAGCTTGGCGGCACGTCACAGAAGAAGACACAGTTTGATATGTGAGCTTCTGTTAGGTTCTGTATCTATGATCTTCAAACAAGGCTGCAGACGGCCAGAGCAAGGAGACCCACTCCCCGAAACACGTCACATAGCCTCAGGCCCAGTGACGGCACACATTATCATGTATGTTAATGACACCCACATCAACATGTCAACTCAATTTGGCCCTCTTAAAGGCTCTCTTTGACTCAATCAATGCATGGCCTTCCATCTGGTTTACACTGCTGTCTTCACATTAGAGAAGCAGAGGGCAGTGACAGGTTGCCCTACATCAGTGTATCACTACATTTCATTTTTTAAAGAAATCTTCCAATAGGAACCAAATGCATGCAGAAAAGCCACAAAACAATCCTCTCAAATAGGTTAATATAAAAGCTGCAAAACATAAATCAAACTAAGTCATGTCAGATCAATAATTGTCCAGATCATTAATTGTGGCGATAAATTCAGCAGGTTGAAAATCCCTTCTTACAAGGCTTTCCAATAAACATTAGCCAGGGAAATGTCTAGCCCGTTAAAATGTTATCCAATTACAAAACCCTATTTAAAACAGAGTTAACAACTGATTGTAACACCTCCACAAAACCAGAGCACAGAGGATGTTATTATGGGCTGCAGCTCATTATTCTCTAGCTGGGCTTGTCTGGCTCGCAGTGTGGCTGCCTGGGACATCCAGTAAACATCTGTCATGAGGCATCCTTTAAGAGGAGCACAGACACAGTAAGCTACTGATCTAGTGACCCGACAGTGCAGGCATTCACACCGCGTTAGTGCACCTGTGTGTGCTCTGCCATCATGGTGTTTAGGCCAATTTTAGGAATCTGTGCTCATAAACCGTTTATATGAATCATTTATTCACCTTATCACAGTGGAGGGGCCTATAGCTGTAAGATGATGTGTTATCCCATTGGGTTTCAATAGCCCATTCATGAATCATTCATTAGTTTGGACTATAGATGATTCCCCTTTATTCATCTCTTATTTATTTTGGGGCAGCACTGCTCCGGATGCATAGCGTTGATTCAAAATGACGTCCACAGGCCAGTGTTTGCCTTCAAAACACACTAACAGTGCAGGGTAACTGGCTTCAATGTGAACAACCACACGTGGCACCTGTATCTGTGTTGATTTCTGAGCTTTAGAATAGGTCAGTGTACCTGCGCTTTAAATAAGTGGGGGTATTTTTCGCAGGGCTAATCGATGGAGCAGAGAGGAATGAATGTAGCCTACGACAGCTGTCCCAAGGAGGCAGGGCAGCTACTACACCGCATGCTTGGTGTGTTCTCCCTTTGAATAAAAATGTCCGATAGATAAAGCAAATCAAGCAAAGCAAGGATGTAAATCAGTGTGTGTACAAATCGAGCTGTCATGTGCAGTGCATACCAAATAGAGCTCGCTCCCTATTCAAACACACACGGCACGCTGAATAGCAGCATAATAACGTTTTCAATGCCTACCTCCAGAGCGTATGCGCCCAAAACTGCGTTTTTCCCCCGTCGCAATGGGATCCTCCTCAGCTTCTTTGGACAGTATCAGAGATGCGTCTTTCCCCAGAAATGCAAACACTTCCCATGCATGTTCCCCCCCCACCCTCCCCGCCACCACCAGCAGCAGAAGCAGCCCGGGCCTCCAGTAATAGCAGGTGGACGCGCCTCTCAACGATGGAGACAGCGCGACTCTCCTCTCCCCCGCCGCTCCATTTTCAATTACGGAAGAATTCGTATTCCAGGAAACGCGCTATAGGACAGCCAGCGTGTCCTAATGTCGCCGCTTCTTCTCGGGACAAACAGGGGCCGTCGCCTCTCAAACTCCCGATTTGCGGCGCCCCCTCGCCTGTTATCTGCCTTTTACGAGGTGCTTGATGTTGCCATTGTCACGGCGTATTTTTTCTTCCTTTTTTTTGCAGCTGGACCTCTCCCCCTCCTTGCGGCGCGCAGTCTCGTAGGCGCGCACTTTGCCTGCTCCCCCTCCGATTCTTCTCGGTCCGACCTATGAGCGCGCACAGCTAGCCGACGCAGGGCCACGCACCGCTTTGACGGACGCGCTGAGCAAATCAGGTAGCCCACTCCAAATAGGACTGTATCGTAACAGGGCAACTGCAATGACATGAATAATGAATAGGCTCCTCATGTATGCCTATGCTGGATGATAGGCCCACTCATAACACTTACCGGACTGGAAGCAATATTTGGGTAGTCTCTCTCTCTCTGTCTCTCTCTCTCTCTCTCTCTCTCTCTCTCTCTCTCTCTCTCTCTCTCTCTCTCTCTCTGTGTGTGTGCATGTGTGTGTGTCTCTCTCTCTCTCTGTCTCAATATGAGTTGGGTCTGCAAACTGAAGAAAAGAGAAAAAAAATAAAAAAATTAATGATTAATTGATCAAATAGATTCTAATAATTTTATAAAATTACATTTGTTTAAATCTAGTCATTCTTGTTGTATGTCCTGCTACAATGCAGTTTTAACATACCGTTTAAAATGCAGGCTACATAATGTACTCTATACAAAAACACAAGGACTTCCATTGTATTTTTTGGAAAGCTGTAAAAGGTGATTGTATCTTTGTTAATCTGTGTGATGGACAAAACATAGTTTAAAACATTTTGATTTCTTAAAAAATATTATGCCAAATCAAGCCAGAATTTACAGACATGCCAGATTCTTTGTTTTCTATCACTGTGCATTGAACATTAAGTTTAGTTTGGGCTTTGACTGTGGGTCAGAACAAACATGACATAAACATGGCTCTAAATGCTATGATGGTAATTTGTATTCCCTATTAGGCATTGGTATGTGCCTATACAAACTATTATATATATGATTAATTTAATATGAAAGTAACTATTAATTATCTGGTCTTAAAATGTCAGTAACATTTGAAATGCATTTTCCAAAGTTCATGTTGACATATTTAAACTGATTGTTTTACAAGGCTTTTCCAAGAATATTCAGTTTACTATCATAAAAGAAGAAGAAAATATTCACATTTGAAAATTAGTAGCAGTAAATAGATTTCTGCTTAAAAAATGATAAATAAAGTATCTTAATTGCTCAAGATTACTTATTTGTTTAACTGCTGATTATCAAAAATAATCAACTTTGTGTTTCAGCTCAAGAAATATTAAGGTTCATTAGCCCAAAGTCTATCTTTTGGTATAAATATTCAGACATTTTGGAGCGACTCAGTTTCTGTCTTCCCTGATGTTAAATGTGTGTAATGAAATGTGTAATAATGCCCAATAAAACAGAACTGCTCAACTAAAACATTTATTCAAGGCTGAGGTGAATACGTGTCTAATATGACAGGGACAATATCTGTCCTTCTACTGCAGCACCATCACAAACTTTCACAAGGCATATATTTTATGAGCCGTGTTTTCACTTTTCCCTTAAAGTACAAGACGTGTGAACAGATATAATATCCACATTTCTTAAAATACCTTTTCATCTGCAGTCATCATTACAGATGTTTATACTGAGGAGACAAATTGGCTTACAGCTTTTCTTAAAGCCAAGCAAGTTGATAACAAAACTCAAAGCTGACAAGAGCGGAATATTTTCATGCTGTTATAATTACAGAGTTTCTTTATGTCGTTGCAGTAAACAGAGGTAATCACTACTGCAGTGTGGTGAGTGTAATATAAAATAACAGGCTCAGCTATGCAAATTAACTCTGAAACTTGTTGCATATAATGAAGAGTGTGTTGAAAAATTTAAATAAAGAAATGGTTTGCTGATGTGAAGATCCATCCATCATCTGGGTAACAAATCCCTGATCACCAAAGATGATATCATTATTATAAAGACTAATAATGTTTGTTGCAAAAGATTAAAATCCAACTAACTTAATGTATCAACTGTAAACATAAGGAAAATAACATCTCTGCCATTCTAAATGTGGCATAATACAGTATATAAAATAGGTGTTTATTATCCTAATGAATTAATATAGCTCTAAAGCAATACAATTGTTATTAAAAGTCAAACAAAAAAGAACAAACTAATTACTTAATTACACTGCTGTACACAAATAGACAAATATGACTTTTCAAAGGGCCAATACTAGTAATTTCCATGTTCTAAATGTATCTTTACCATCCACTTTGTGCATAAATATAAACAATACATTATTAACTGATTTTACACAACATTTAATTTAAAGGGAAGAATGTATTTAACTCACATTATGTATTTGTTTTGCCATCGGGGGTTTCTCAACGAGAGTTTGTTGATGCTATGATAGTGTGGGATTATGGGAGTTGTCTTCTTCAACACCGTCCTCAATGGCTCAGCTGAGCGTTCATCGTTCAGGAGGTTTTTATCCACAGTTGTCTTCCCCTCCTGAAACAAATGGACACGGTAATACAAACAAATAAACAGATTAAAGCAGTTTTTGTGTTTTTCTGACATTGTTTGGCGGACACAGGAGGACTTGGTTCGCCTCCGTTAACTCAGCTTTTGTTTCTGACGTTTGATGAATAAAATACTTCATCAGGTTAAGGCCCCGCTCACACGGGAACGTTTGCGTTTATGCACAGTATGCGTATTCAAAAAAGTCTTCGGTTCACATGCATTTGTTTCATTTAACGTGTCTGTTCAAACGAGGCCGCTGGAAACGCTGTAGTACATATGCTGGGACTGTAAGTGGCGCTGTAACTTCCGCCAAAATACACCAAAAGCCGCGAAGAAGAGCAACCCGAGCAGCCCCGCTGCAATGTTGCCATGGCTACCCTTCTGTTTAAGCCCCGAAACTGAAACAGAAACTGAAAGAAACCGAATCTGTGGATATTGCATCCCGACCAAGAAGCACGTCTCCGTGGAGAGGACGGCTCAGAAAGAGAGAGATATTCTCTACAAACACCGGGTGAGATCCTCCTTTGTCAATATAATGGATCAATGCATGAAATCTGACTCTGTTTATTTTGTTTAAGGAGTATATTGGGCGTTAACAATTCTGGTTTGCCTTTTATAATATTATTTCATTCAAGAACCCCTTGTGCGTTTAATTAACACAGCTATTTTTGATAGTTGCTACAGCAGTGAGCAGGAGAGGTGGGGAGAGGTGGGGCTATCGCTATTTTTCCAGGAAATATTCGTATAGAGGTGATTACACGGACTCGGTTGACCCCCCAGAGCGTTTCGTTTGCAAATCTATCCACCTTGGGACCCGTTATTGTTTGTGGGGTCAGTTTCTATCGGCCTCGTGTAAATAATAGGGCTATACGCACGCTATGCAGATACAAGCAGTTTTCTCCTCGTGTAAACGGCGCCTAATATATAAAGTTAAAAACCATCAAGATGTAATTAGTTTATTGTAGAATGTGGCTTCAAACTGCATACAAAGTAAATGTAGGAGAGCTTCTGGTAGACAACCACAATGCTGACAGTTGGGCATAAGGGATGTGTCACCATTACAGACGAGCAGATGAAACAAGGCTTTCGAAACTTTGGGGAATTGGAAGGTAAGTATACCCAAGTAAAACAACTCCTGCATTTGAATGCAGACATGTTACATACAATTCATTCAAAACAACATAAAAATACTTCTTCTCCAAAATCAGACACAACACGATTTACAAACTTTAGAAACATACGAACAGCAGGAGTTAATACAGTAAACAAAGAGTATATCTCAGAAATATATAATCACAAAAAGCACAATTAATGCAACGTCCAAACGCCGGTCCATCACAGCTGGAAGCGTTACAGGCCTAAATCCTCTTTATAAATGTACGCCACAGATGTGGAGTAAGTTTATCGAACCTTTCACTATTCTGTGTATTAGTACTGGTAATGATTTAGCAGGATTACTATTGTGTATGAGTAATGAGTCATATGCTGTTGTTTTCTTTATTGTAACATTGTAATATTGAGTTCACATGTTCATAATAATGACAAAGTCAATCTAAGTATATTCCCCTGTCTTTACAGGGAAATAAATGTCAATACCTTCGATTAAATGTGTCATTATCTTAAGTCCTGTATCAATAACCAAAGATTCAAACAAAGGCTCAGCAGTACAGACTACTGTGTCAGTGTACTACTTTCTCAGAATACCCCAAATCAACATTGTTTAGTGACTTTGGTTGATTTATGTGCTTTTTATTATTATTCGATACAATGAAGAGCCATTCAGTTGAGTTTTAGTCAGTTGCAGTTATAGCTGCAGTAAGAAGAAAACGTGTTATGCTACAAAAGTACATCTGAACTTGCAATTCATAAAACATTGTTGAATAGAGTTGATGTCAAGGTGCTGTAAGGAACTGCACGGAATGGCCTGAGCACATGCTGACAGATCAAATGTTTTACACTATAAAATAAAGTGAGGTTTACCACACTGAGCAGCTGAAAGGGTAATCGGAACTGAATGTGAAAAACGGGCAGATTCTCAGCAACACAGTTTAAATAAATCTACAGGAGGTGACTGGCATTGAAGCTCATGGAAAATTAAAGGCTGCAAGGAGTTGAGAGCAGAATGTAAATGCGGAAATCTCAGGCTTTGATGCTCACCAGGTCTGACAGTCGGTGTGAAATCTCCAATAAGATTATGACAGTTGTAACCGGCATGCATCCATCTTTGTATTAGCAACACTGCGTCTGACCAAACGGTCTTGGGGCCATTTGGTGTAATTTGTCCGCTGTGTTTGAGATGGGGTGAGCTTGATTCAAAAAGGTTCACACTCATTCATGTGAATCGGGCTAAAAGTCTTAAAGACACATGAATGATAGGTCGAGACCAGAACAAACACAAGGTGGGAACTATTTGATCCAGTTTGATAGTTTTCTCCTCATACAATCATTTGTTGGATTTTTGTGGGACAATATAATGTACGCACCTGGCCAGTGGTGGAAAGTAGTAGCCTACATTTACTCAAGCCCTATAAAATATGTGGGTTACAGGCAGAGTCTTCATTTTGCTGTCTAAATATGTGGCAATTAAACAGTGATTTGATACAATTCAAATCCATTTCCGATCCGACAACTCAAGTTACTTTAGTGTGCTTCACAGATTTAGAATTTAATAATCAACTTTTAAACTATGAGATATTAGAATATATTAAACCACCTAGCAGTAGAATACATTAA